GCTGCTGCTTGCTATAGAGAGAGAATGTGGCACCTGTGGCTCATTATCATATACTCAAATACATTTTGCGTGTTATAAACCAGGCATAGCAAACAAATGCACAGATACTATTACGATGGGATATCATTCTAGAAAACTTGTTGTGTGGCTCATGGCAGAGCGTGTTAAAAAGTAACTTATTCATTAACGATATGAGGTTTGGTGATGGATTTTAATTCTGCTTAGTTACTACTTTTACATGTTGTTGCTAGAACTGAAAACCGGGCATCATTCAAATGCGGGAAATACATTCGAAAAGCGGTGTGTTACTCAATAGTGTGCAAGCCAGATCCTGTTAGACTTCTGAAGCTAAGCAGGGCAGGGCCTGGTTTGTACTATGATGGGAGACCTCTGTGGACAAGGTACCACAGTGGGGCCAGACTTAATGACACTTTGCAATATTTAACCATATTTCTTGAAGCTCTGCCACATCTCAGAAATGCTGTGTCATATTTTTGTAATGTATGAAAGAAAAGAAAAAGGCATAATTCAGATGATTGTGATGTCATATTGTACTTACCGTGATAACAATATGTCTCTGATGTTTTGGACATAATAACCTAATTTAAACCTGACTGGAAACCCGGGTGGTCTTGCCTCACAGATCTGACGTATATCTGCTTGGCGCCACCATCTGCTCGTCTCAATGGGGGATTGATGATTATTGCTAAACTCCAGAACTCTCCTTTGAACTTTCTACTGCCTAAATAATGATAGTATATTATTAGACAGTGCGTGGTTCGTCTTGCCGAAGAAGGCAAAGTGGACAAAGTAGATCCTGCTCAAACTGAAACGAGATATATGCGTTTGAAATGTCCTGCTCGCCATCACGATTTCTCAAAAAACCACCACACGCTCACGGGTCACTGCTGGTGATGGAGTTTTGAAATTTTGCTGATTTCGGTTTGGCAGAGCACCGAGACAGCAGGCCAGCGATGCCCCCAAACTGAGTGGACTTCCTCTCTATCCACCCCCCACACAAACACACACACACGTCCCATCGCTCTCCTGGCTGACCTTCCCCTCAGACGACACCAGCAGATGTAGAGGAGGAGAGAGCTAATGGCTAACAGTGCCACACATTAATCAATAAGGTGGAGCATAGGTCAGGCCACACGCTTCTATTGACTACAATATAAACTTTTACACTCAGCTTTCTCTCTAATGTTAGCATCCCCCGCCTAGTTTGTGATTCACATTGAACTTACCTATGTAGCAGTCGATAAACTAGACTTGCATTTATCAGACTGTAAAAAATTGACTTTTAAAGCTGGAATCTATAGCCACTTTGTGATTTGTGGATTGTTCAGTTTGTATTATTCTCCAGCATTAGATTATTTTGATGAACTCTTCTGTAGGGAACTTACTTAGATCTTGTTTTCAGATTCAGATTCAGATTCATTTTATTTGCCATTTGCAGTAAAACCACATAGGAAAAACTGTGCAAGACTACCCCGGTGTGCACCAGACAGAGAAGACGACACACACCAGAGCTCTTGCCACGGCGCCATCTTTACGGCGTCATTTCCTCATTCACACTCATGATTCCACTGCATCATTCAGGCTTTTTGGCATTTTTAATGAAAATAAAATTTTCCGCTTGCTGCTATGATGATCTGCCATCTGATCACCGCCACTGTGTTGTGTTGATGTATGTGTTTATATGGAAAGAGAATACAGACCAAGCAAAAATTAAATAACTCAGCTCGTCCTTGTCCTCAAACCGGTCACACCACTCTGGTCCCGGTCTACATGCGGTGCACTTTATCTGATTGAGCTGAGGGTGGGCTCATAAGTAGTTTCTGGCTGATGCAGGAGGGTCTACGGAGAGTGACGATCATTGACGATGATATTTAAGGACATTGGCCATTGGTCATCCCACTTCTTATGGACCAAGGGCTGCTATGTATTTGTTATAATTGTATTTCATGTGTTTTAACTGTTTGATTCTCTGATCTGTTGTTGATCAAGCTCTCAGAAATGACTGCTGTTGTGATGTACAGCAATACAAAAATGGAACCATAACATTGGCTTATCATTCAGACTGTGTAACAGTAATTGTAAATACATTTGCTATCGCACATACGGTGTAAAGACGGTTTTGGCAAATGTAATCCTGCAACATTGAGTTTACTTTGAGCTGTTGATTTCCAGCACAAGCCATACAGGTTCCGCAGCAGCCTTGAATGTTTCAGTGAAGTTTTGCTTTTGCTCAACATGGCGAAGACAAAACAATGAAGTTGTTGCGTTCCCTGAATTTGACCGATCCTTGAATGTTGCTAGAGCCTCTGTCAGGAGCGATGTCACCGCAGTGCAGCGCCCGAGGCCCATCTCCAGATGTTGATGCTCTTGTTGAGGACCAGAGCTGGATGATTACATATTGTACATGTTTTAGTGGCAGGGGAAACCACGCAGACACAGAACATGCAAACTCCACTCAGAAGCCATGTTTCGACTGCACTTTCACAAACACAGGGGACTGTATACTGTACGCACAAATACCGTCAGAACATGGCTAAAATATGTATGCATTTCTTTTTACAATTATTTTCCATACACACAATGCATTTTCTTTTCATAGGACAATAAATTAGGATTAGGATCTAGAGGATCTGGATTAATAGTGTCCCACGTAAACACACACACTGTCAATGGGAAGTCTGAAAACACAACTTAAGATCACAACACGCTTCTGTCGGCTATATACTGTGCAGCCCGTGGCTCATGCTTAAGGCAAGGCAAGTTTATTTATACAGCACAGTTCACACACACATGGTAACTCACAGTGCTGAAAATACAACAAAAAATATCTAGTTGGTGTTAAATCTCAAAACTGAGCTAAAAAAATTTAAACTGAAACTACAGCTTTGTCTGGTTTGGTTTGGACGGATGAAGAAATAGACTCGCTCCTCTGTGTAACAGGGGGGTCTCTCTGTCTCTGGATCTATTTAGTTTATGCCTAGTATCATAAATTTTGTTGCTGTAACGCACAATAAATAAGACAATTGACAAACAAAATAAGTGTCTTGATGCCTGCAGGAGGAGAAATGGAAACACATTGTGGTTTTTGCATGCAATAGATTATTAATGACTCAGACATCCGCTAGAACGGCTCTGAAAACAGCTCTGAAAGCAGTTGAGAAACCCCCATTCAGCACATCACTATATGTCCCCTTTAAAAACAGAAGCCAGTGAAGTAGTTTAATAATGTTGTTTTATGCTCTTCTAACTGCCACATTAACGTTAAAACTGTGTCGCAAACAACATATCTTCTATGAATTGATGACAAAGTTTACATTTCAGAAGTAAGAAAGCTTTCCAGAGTGGAGTGAAGCTGATGGGTTTCACAGCCTGATGGATTAAGTGCTATTTTATGCCTTTTTACGGCTCTAAAGTGGTTTTGGCCTCAAGAATTCCTCCTTTGAGAGATGATGCATATAATAATAATGATGGAGGATAAACAAGCTGGGTTAAAGGGTTCAAAAAGTTTATGTCTGGTGATAATAACACTATAATATTTCATTCTATAAGCAGTAAACGCAGCAGTATCCAGAGATGCATGAGAATAGCACACATACGTTTGTCATTTATAACTTTATCGTCACATGTATTATCAGGCTTTGTTAGATATGCTTTTGGAAAGGCAAGTTTATCTGTATACCACAGTTCAAAGTGCTTAACAACAGATGGAAACAAACATACAAGGCATTGAAATTATAAATAATCACAGTACATTAGACAAAATGAAGAACAACTAAACAGACCTGTTTTCAGGAAGACTGTTCCAGATTTTAGCTGCATGAATCTGAATGTTTATTCCTGACGCTGGGCTCCGGCAGGAGGCCAGGTGGTTGGTTAATATGGTTTTTATAGCAACCCCTGCTGTGTTTTCTCTCAAATTGTTGTTGACAACGCCATTGGGGTCCATGTCGTTTTGAAATGAGATGTGTTAATGTCACTTTAAAGTGATAGTGATTATAGTAAATATTTTGTGAATAATCTAAAAAGTTCTGTATTCAAAATCAGAAAATACTGTTAATGCTACACAGTAGTATGTGGCTTTAAAATAGCAGCTGATTGACTGAGCAAGAATGAACTCTCCTTAACTTTTCCATCTGAAAAAGCTGATCTAAACCTGAAAGAAAAGAATGACGCATGAAAATTAGTGAAGGTTTGGTAAAGATTGAAAATCATTCTACAGAGAGCTGTGCCAAACATAAAAAGAACTCAATCTCCAGTTTGGAATTAAAATGAAAGACACTAATCATTTTTCTTCCTCGCTTTTCACTCTGATTGACCTAAATACCTACAGAACTTCAGATGTAAACATAACTGTACTGTGGTTATTTATGATTTAAAATCCTTGTATGAATGTTTCCATCTTGGTTAGCTAAGCACCTCTAGTTGCTTTGTGAATGAACTGCGCTATACAAATAAACCTGCCTGGCCTTGCCTAGTATGCACAGGCAATTACGTTTACTAACATCAATGTATGTTTTGTCTTACCAGTTATTCTGTCTGAAATATAAGTAGTGATTCAAAATAAAAATTGAGATTGGTCAATATGTGAAAGGAAATCCTCACTTTTTTGTACCCCAGTTTTAAAGGAGCCGCTCTGGTGTAAACAGGCCAACTATCCATTACATTTGTTTGTGTTTAGCCCTAAATCACAGCAGCAGTCGTCTCAAAGCTGTCGATTTCCCAAGAAAAGATCAGAAAATCAAACTGTTAGAACACAGGAAAGGCATCAATAACAAACACATAGGAGCCTCTGGTCCATAGAGAGCGAGATGACCAAATGTCCTTAAATGTCAGGACATGCTATAGATCCAGGACTCAGGCTGTAGAACGAGGACTGAGGCTGTGTGGGGAGGGGAGCAGATGGTTGTTCTGGACTCACACGTGTGGTTTCTGTGCAGGTAACGTCTGAGGTGTGAACAGCTTGTGGAGACGCAGCAGCGATGGGCCACAGGGCTGAGCGACTGCTGCCTGCCCTGCTGCTGCTGCTGCTGCTGCTGGGGACAGGAGCCATCAGGGCGGTCAGCTTCCCCGAGGACACCGCTGCCCTGGACGTGGTCGACACACACTGTAAGACACACATACACACACACGAACACAACGCACACTGTTATTATCTACAGGGATGTCAAAATAGTCAAGGTTGGGTATGTGGTTTTAGAATCAGAAATATTTTGATGCCATTGCAAGGATTTTTTTTTTCATGAATTCATTCACTCCACACGCAATGGTAGTAAATTACTACAGCCACAGCTGCCCTGAGGCACACTGAGAGAAGCGAGGCAACCAGTATGTGACATTGGCCGCTCCCACCACCAACCATATGCAAACACCAGACTTATTCATATATTTAGTTTTTCACCAGTTTTTATTAAACATAAGTCATTTATTGTTGTTTTTTTCTTCTTTTTTACTGTTACTAAAACAAGTTCATATAAATTGAAATACAGCAAAAATAGTTAGTTGAAAGTCTAAATGCGAACTGCTGAAAGTAAATAGTGTGTTTCTATGGTAACTAGCACTTGGTCTTCTTTGTGGAAAACCTGTGAACCCATTCCTGGACCGGCACATTGAAAAAGGGCTGACATAGGACGCTGGGAGCCAAGTGACGGAAAATGGCTAAATATAAATTGTGAATTACACATTTCAAATGAATGGAACTAAAGTTAGAACTCCTCACATTTCAAAAAGAAAAGTTAATGAACTAAACTATATAACTAACATATAGATACAGAAGTTCAAGGTATATAGTAGGATTTTCTATTTCCAGGTGGATCCTCAAGACTATTGGTCCTCCTAATTGTCAATCATTCCAGACCAGTGAGTTTAAAAAAAAATTGGAGAGGATTGCTCTTTCCTAAAGTCTGGGAAAATCCTCCTATTTAAGTTAGGAAGAACATAAATGTGAGTAATTACATTTCCAAAACTAAAGACTGTCAAATTGACTGCTCTGGGAGTTCTAGTGTAGGAGTGTTAGGGGCATATCCATCTCTGGTCTCATCCTGGAGGTGGCCTGCTTGAATGTGTGACTGTCTATCACTTTATCAAGTGCTGGTCTTAAAGTGATTTTCATGACATCTTGGTCATTACCACTAGTCGGAAAGGAGAAATCAGCCGCACATACTTCGTAAATAGCCCATTATTTACACAGACTTATGTTAGAAACCTCCTGAAATAAAATTATGTAAATCAGCGTGCTCGATTGCGGGAAGTGAAACGAAAAGTATAATAATATGATAGTAACCTTGAAGGAAAATAGAAAGTCATTCCACACAATCACTTAAAACCCCCGGTCTGTGAGGACGCATGCTAACGAGCCTGTAGCTACACGGTAAGTGAAATCCCCGACTTAGCATTCAGATAAAGCACATCATAATTACTTTCTGGAGTCCGTATCCAAAAAGAGCTCCTCCACTGCTTCATCAACGTATTATTTCCCATTGTACTAAAATCAATCTTCTGCCAGGTCAGTGCAAACATTAAGTGGATTTTGAACAACAGAGAGATCCAACGATGTGCAGTCGCAAGCTGCCATTAGCCCAACTCCAAACAAGACTGGCAGGCACACATATAATTATAAAACAGACAAATATTTCTACTCTACCATTACCTTAATGGCAGAAGGATTTGTGGAAAGTGCACGCGTTGTAATTATATCAACTCAAGAGAAGTGAGTTGAATGCACAAGTTGATCTGTGCTTAAGTGCCTGTAGCAGCTTTCATTAGACCTGCTATTACGGCTTGTTTGCATCCCCTGTCGATTCATTTATTTCTATTTGGGCTAATGCTTTTCAATTTGGGCCCAGAGAACAACGCTATCTGTCCAAAGTAGTGCTGTGGAAGCGTTACGGCAGGTAAGGTCACTGTTTAAAATGCTCGGCTGGGCGTTCCAAAGAGACGAGCGCACGTGGACGGAAAACATGAAAGTTATTGCAGCTTTTGGTTGTTTTCAAATGATGATTCACGACTGTTTGTTTTGGGAGCAACACAGAACAGAAGTAGCTTGGTTCAAGTCACTGCAGGTTCAATGCCCTATCCGATGAACCTTTATTTGAAGAACTTAACATGTAGTTATGAAATCTATACAGTCAAAATTCAATTAAATTTCTTTGTGTACAGCCCTAAATCACAACAGCAGTTGTCTTGGAGGACTTTACAAAGTTGTTGATATGACAAAAATAGATCAGAGAATCAGTTCCAAACACAGGAAATGCGATAATAAACACATAGGTGCCTTTGGTCCATAGGGGGCGGGATGATATTTATTTCCTGGATCATCACTCTCCTTAGACCCTCCTGCAACGGCAAGGAACAACCTAAAAAAAGTAAAAAGTGAGCTCGGTGAGGCCCGTATTGAAAGAGGGAGCCTTTCCCACGGACGGTAGATCCAGGACTCAGGTTGTAGAACAAGGCCTGAGGCTGTGCGTTGCAGGACTGAAGAGGTTCCCAGTCGGGGAAATTATTACGTATTAAAATAATTAATGAATGAATTAGGAAAAAAACAGCAGGTACAGCTGCATTGATGTAACTTGTTGACAAAAAAAGTGTAATCTTCTGGCACAGTCCAGTCTCAGTGCCATATGAACCAACTCAGACTCTGAGGAGCACAAACATGTCACAGATGAAGAGACTTGTAACAGGTAGAGCTGCTTCAAAGTTTATTATCTGGGCCGCAGGAAGCCAGTGCACAGACCTGAGAACTGGACTAATGTGATTGTCCTTCCTGGTTCTAGTCAAGACTCAAACTGCAGGCCAATTCAAAATGGACTGTAGCTGATCACATGACTGACTGTGGGTTTAAAATATATAACATGTTTTACACTTCATAGTGACCTCCACATTCACAATAATATATTTTTCTTGCCCACAGTTTCTCGCCGGTACCCCGTTTTCCGAGGCAGGCCCTCTGGTAACGAGTCCCAACACCGGCTGGACTTTCAGCTCATGACCAAGATCCAGGACACGCTGTTCATCGCCGGCAGGTAAAACAATCCTCCTATTCTCCTTCCACTCAAACCTCCCCCACTCTCACCCCCAGTGTCAGCCAGTGTCCCTTCTTTGGCGAGTAAACAGGGGGTGGAAGCTCTTAACGATATTGCATCTGAGGCTGGATGTATTAAGCCCTATCGATCCAAGGAAAGGTTTGTCATGGGCGCTGGCATTCCATGTGGGGAATGTTTGCTCCTATACATGTCCATGCGGCGGTTTATGGCCAGGAGGATTAATCGCACGACTAATACAGTGGCTGAGAATCATGTCATGCTCTGTAAAAAACCTGCCCTTCGAGGCAACTCCATCTTGTCATACGTTAAAGGAAAAACAGGTGACGCTTCAGGTTTACTAAGAGTTATGAGATTTCACGGCCTGATAAAACGCCTCCGCTCCCAGTCCGATGTTGAGTAGTTAAAGAACACGTGCTGTTTAGGAGTTACAGTAGGGTTTACTCGTGAAAAATGTTGTTTTAACCTTAAGGCACTCAGGATTATGAAGCTACGAAAACTCCGGGACCCGTTGCTCCCACTCAAACCAATGGAATTATGAAAAATTCCCCTAAAACATGTTTTGTTCTTCACGAGATTTATAATTAACAATGAGTCATTTATAAGGTTTTTATTTTTTTAGCCATATTCAGTTTTAATAAGTGCTAAAACGGCTTAATGTAGCATGAAATACAGCATAAACAGTTTGGTGAAAGGCTGAATGCTAATTGCTGGTGTGTTGCTATGGAAACTAGCACTTCCTCTTTCTCCGGTGGAAAACCAAACTGGACCAGAACCAGCATCTTGGATTCTGCCACAGAATGTTGGTTACAAAGCGACCAAAAATGGTTACATTAGAGATTATTACATCTAAATGAACGGAGCAGTCAAGATAACTGCTCTGGAAGTTAAAAGTAGAACTCTGCATGAAACGGTATATACATAAAGTACATACGGAAGCAGAAAAGGTCACAGCGTTTTCACGACAAAAAAAATGTAAATCAGTAGTTACAAAATGAAAATATGTCAAATTGACTGCTCTGTTAAGTGTTCTGTACTTTCTGTTGGATTGCCAAATGGTATACTTTTGTGAAAACCCAATGAACAGAATGTTAAAAAGAAAAATAAATAAATATTGCTCTGTGAGTTCTAAACTTAAAGCTCCAGGCTCCATTTTGACACAAACACAGTCCTCAGACATAAGAAACTGAGCAGACTTCTAGCTCTTAAAACAAAAATATAACCACCCAATCCAATGGGTGAAAAGGGGGAAAAAAATATTGGATCTCTAAATTCTCATAAATCTCCACCACTACAACTCGATCGCTGTTTTGGTTCATGTTTATCCACCTACTATCTACAAGAATTATCTCACATCGGCTTTTAAAACCTGAAAAGCCAAATGAAATATCCCCGAGTTCCTGTTTAAGAGCCAAAATGAACACAAATAATGCATGTTTCTTAAGGGTACAGACATTGGACAAGCTCATGAGTCATACGTTATAGTAATCTGTATCCATGCTCTATTGCACTAATGAGACAGTCCTGCGTGTACACACTGTATATGACTGTATTCTTGGCTAAACATTAAATATCATTGTCTTTTCAAATCCCAGTCAATGAATGTGGGAGTGAATGAAGTCTGAACGCCATATGTTCTGTTAACTGGCATCCCTCCACCCCAATACCCCACCCCAGGCTCAGATCCAGGGGGGAAGACACCAGGCAAACACACAGAGGAAGCTAGATTTATTTCAGCTTTTATTCCAGTTTTTTATAGCACATTTTATAAAGAAAACAATGTCCAAAGTGCAAGGCATAAAAGTGATAACTCTACTAAACACGCCTGTTTTAAAATGCAATAAAAGCAAAATAGTAGCTACATTTACAGGAGGGAGAAGTACACGAAACGAGAACAGAATATATCAAAAGTGAAAATGATTTAAATGGTGAAATTGGATTCAATCTTATCAAAAGCGGCAGAATAAAGGCGGCGGCATTTTAACAGGCTTTAAAGCAGACAGCGGACACCTCGGCATTAACTATTGATGAGAGCAATGTAAAACCTCGGCTTTAAAAATTGAAACTATCCCTTTTACTACAAGTAATTAACGGTCTATTAGTAAATGGACATGAATATTCAGAGTTGGAGTGTGTCGAAGCCGCGGTGTTAGAGATCCCATGTGTTGTGTGCAGAGATCAAGTGTACCTCGTCAGTCTGCGAGAGAGCTACCGCAACGAGATCATCCCGTACCGGGTAAGAAGCAGTGAATCATGTTGGTAAATGATCAAATATGAGCGATTTCCTGTGTTTTGTAAATAGATTTTTGTCCATAATGGATTGAGCTTTGAATTTAAAGCTGGGTTATGTTATTGTCTTTAGATCAGATTTTTTCAGACTGTAGCCCCGTTTCCACCAGCCCTACTCTACTCAGCTCTACACCCGATTGAGAGTATTTCCACTGGCTCTGTTTAACCAGTCACCAGATACTTTTTTAGTACTTTCTAGGTCCTGGTTCTATCCGATCTATCCGGTACTAAAGAGTTCCAACTGACAGTGATTGACCAGAGAGCTGCTGGAGGTTTGTTGCGGGTACATTGGATACGGTACTAGATATTTAAGTGTAATGGAAATGCAACCAGGTAGAGCTGAGCCGAGTGGGCCGATGGAAAGAGGCAAGTAGTGACTCCCAGGGCTTGCTCTTCTGTAAGCAAAATATAAATAAATAAAAATCAAATGAGAAAAAAGTCACACAAAAAATGAATAGTATCACGAAGAAGCCTTTGGGACCCCATATGGGACATTCAGACGTCTTGTATCAATGAGACAGTGGCTAGGTATCGAGTAAGAGTTTTATTTCAAATGTATGCCAAATAAGAAGATAAACATAAAAAAATATATAAACAAATTCAATAAAACAAGACACAGGCCCAAACATGTATTTTTTGGGGGTTTTTTTGGGTGGTAAAGCAGTGGTTGTGTTGTTTTGCAGAAGCTAACATGGAGGTCTGGACAATCGGACAGAAACATGTGTGCCGTGAGGGGCAAGCACAGGGTATGTATATAATTTATCTCTTTGTGAGGTCTGGTGGGGGTCGCACTATGCATTAACATGAACACCACAGATGAAAAATACTGTGTCTGTGGCAAGGTGCGCTGCCGCGAGCGAACAGTGCAAGATTAATCAGAATTGACAGTATTATAATAAAAGACTGTTTTAGACTATAAATCACACTTTTTAAAACAAGTTATGAAATCCATTTTGTAGACCTGTATGTAAAGTATGCAGAAAAATGCAGCTAATCTATTTAAACATTTATTTTATTGTATTTTTTAAGCGGAAACAAGGCAAGGCCAGTTCAGTTCATACACCATACACAACTCAAAGTGCTTAACAAAACAAGATAAAAAGGCACAGTACATTAAAAAGAGTAAAGATATAATCCTTCAGTTGTTTGTAAATCTAAACGGATTTTTTGTAACCTGTATTTGAAGATAGTCTGAGTAGAAGCCTGTTTCACATTTTCAGGAAGACTGATTTTAGCTGCATAAATCAGAAACGATGCCTTCCTTTGTTTAGTCCTGACTCCGGGCACCAGCAGGAGGCCAGCCACAGTCTACAATTGTCTGTATATTTATCTTACTAAATGAATACAATGTTATTAATTCAGGATTGTGTTTTTAAATGACGTAGGACGAGTGCCACAACTTCATCAAAGTCCTGGTGCCGCGAAACGACGACTTGATTTTCATCTGCGGCACCAACGGCTTCAACCCAATGTGCCGTTACTACAGGGTCAGTATCTTTTTTATCTTCCATACTTCCCATCACTCTCACTCTCAATAATTACCATGACAATGCATCATTCAATTCCTGACGGATAAAACAATATACTTTGGGCCTGAATATTTAAAGACAAGAACTTTTAGCAATTTTTATTTTAAAACTTTTGTGTTTTATGATTCCAGGGTTCTAAATATTGCTCAATTTTGCTTTTTATTCACATGAAATCTAATGCATCAAAGAAAAAAAATGGGTGTACCCTGTGTGTGCGTGTATGTATGAATGAATGTTTATTTGAACATAGAATGAAAATGAAAACAGTAAGAACAAAAACAAAAGCAAAAACAGACAACAATAAATACAAGGCAATAACAAAATTTATTTATTTATTTATTTATTTGTTTATTTGACAGGGACATTGCACAATAAATGTATTGTTCAGACCGGATATAGCTACAAGCTAATTTTCATCCGTAGTCCTTGAGGCAGAGGCAACGTGAAAAGACTTTTTTTAATTCATGTTCAATAGGAGTTGGAAGAAGCCAAAGCTTATTAAATCCTACGCCTTTTCCCAAAGTTAATTCAATATATAAAAAAAATATCATGTATGTTATTTGGTCTACAATACATTAGTATAAGTGTATGTATATGACATTAGAACAACTGCAGCTGTCAGAATAGTACTTTTAAAGGTGGTTGAGAGAACGGCATGATTGAGGTTCTTCTGTGCGTCCAATACTTGCATCATGGCTGCAAATTAGTTTCAATAGAAAGGCAAATATATGATCCATCAATATCTGTGTTTGTGACGGGTCTACTAACACAACTGCATGTCTTGTGTGTAGATGTCTTTGTTCTCGTCTGCACCTTCTCACCGCTTCCGCTTTTTTAAACGTTTGTGACTGGAGCACTTTCACGCTGGCGCTCCTGGTATTGTTTATGTCCGACTTTCTAACCGTGTGGGTGCGTGTTGCAGCTGGATAACCTTGAATTCGACGGGGAGGAGATCAATGGCTTGGCTCGCTGCCCGTTTGACTCCAAGCAAACTAACGTGGCGTTGTTTGCCGGTAAGGGTCAAGAGAAACACAAATCCACCCACCCACACACACACACACACACAAACACACACATGCAGAGGCTCTTACTCTAAAAACCACTTGCTCTGCTTTGAAAGAATCTAATGCGTCTTTGCCTGTGCTCTCATTATCACCTCTGTGCTTATGCCACGCTAAAACAAAGCCCATGGCGCTAACAGCACACCCAATTAGGGCTTTGTAAGAGACAAGGAAAACAGCAAGAGCAGAAGTCCAATGTTTTTGTCTAAATATATTTTTCATTGTATTGTAGCTTACTGTAGTTTGAGGCTTGATTTAGAGCTGGTTGTGTCCAGATCTAGCACAGGTTTGACACAGAAACACCTTGAAAGAAGCGTTTTTGGATAGATTAAGGCGGCCTCTTTGTCAATCATTATGGGTATTGTTTTTAAATGACAAGGATTTGGATTGGTAAATAATCAGAAGCTATGGAACAAATGTGGGTGTTTACTTTGACATTCAAGCCAGATCAATCTCAATTAACACAAGAACTTCCAGAGCAGTCAAATTGACTGCTTTCAGTTTTGGTAGTGTAAATACTAAGCTCGTATACATTTTTGGTCTTCATAAGTTTGTGACCTTTCCTGTTTCTCTCTGTAGTTTATTTCTATGTTATTACTTTATTAAATTATATATTTTTAAAAAAATAATAACAAAAACCCTAACAAGATAGAAACATCACACAAGACATTAAATTCAGTAGAAGCCTGCCTCACATTTTCAGGTAGACTGTTCCAGATTTCAGCTGTATAAATCAAACGCTGCCTCCCCATGTTTAGTGCTGACTCTGGGCACCAGCAGGAGGCCAGTCCCTGTGCTCTTCAGAGTCCGAGTTGGTACTAGTTTAGTGGTACACATTCATAGCCCTACATGTACTCAGAGATCATTTTAAATTTGTGAAATATAAGCAAATGACCATAACTTCTACAAAACGTAAACTAGAACTTATTTTATGTAGACGCGGTAGTTTATAGTCAAATTGTAATAGAGCGGTATGTTTTTTTCAGAGGGAAAGCTATATTCTGCCACAGTAGCAGACTTCCAGGCGAGTGATTCTGTCATCTATCGGAGTATGGGTGATGGATCGGCACTGAGGACCATTAAATATGACTCCAAATGGCTCAAAGGTAAGCCACCTCATCAGTCTCGATCATTTCCCCCTCACTTCGCTTCCCGGCAATCACACAGCAAGCGTCTGCTGCAGCCGCCGTACGAGGCAAAGGTTCAGCCGCAAACTTTTCAACAAAACTTATCTCAACTTCTTTTGAGGTTTATGAGTGCACTAAGCATGGCAGTAAGTCCAAGGATGTCCAAAGTACGACCCATGAGCTTATTATGGCCCAATTTATCATGTTAGGCGCCCCTTGAGATCATGAACACACATTCTCCGCATTATCCAGTCAACTTCAGCTCTGCCAATATCCTCCTGAATCTAAATCATGTGGGTCAGGCTGGTTTTAAAAAGGATTGCTGTAGCTTTTACATCCACCAAATCAGGAACACACCAAACTCCACCCGTGAGTCCAGTTTTAACCCGGAGACAAACAAGTGTAACTTTAAAGCTGGATTACACCACTTTGAAACCACAAAAAATAACGATTTCATCTATATAACTCTCAAAAAAGTTCCATCAATAGAACATGTATTTTTGGCCTCTGTGACATCTATAGATCAGCTTCTATCAGACTAGAGAAAGAGAGTACCAACCCCTCATGGTGTAAATAAGTTACAAAAAGATTCTGTTGGGACAAACAAAATGTATTTTTGTCCCAACTAAACTGATAAATTTGAATACTAAAGCACTAGAATTCTTAAAGATACACAATTTAGTTTTTTTTCTGACTGTAAAATGTATAAAATCTTTGATAACATGTGACCAAAGACAGCCGTAGATATACACTACAACTTATTTATGAAGCAACAACAAACAGTGATGTACTCAGCTTAAAAATGGCTTGTTTTACTGGATGTTAAACTCGATCCACCAGTCCAGTCTGTTAACCAAAACTGACACAGACACCACCGTGTTTAGGCCGATGGGATGTCCAAACGTTGTCGTAGTGTAGCTGCGGATTTCATTCACGAGTCAGAGACGAGAAAACGAGCCAATAAACCTCTCGTAAACCTCTCCGTGAACGAATGATAAATGGCGCTTTGTATCAGGTCCGCGCCGGTTGTCAGAGCTGTTTTTAGCAAGTTTAAAACGTTCCTTTTCCCTTTCCTCTCTCTTGCCAAGCTCCGAGGGGGATATGGCCGGCTCTCTCTCAGGCAATCTAGGTCACCCCTCGTCATATACAGCTTGTACAAATCCTTAAAATATTCAACATGCTTCAGTGTGCTTGGGTTGGTGGTGACGCTGCATAAACGCACTTCTCAACTCTCTCCCTCTCTCCCCCTCCCTCTCCCTCTCTCTCTCCCCTTACAGAGCCCCATTTCCTACACGCAGCAGAATACGGGAATTATGTGTACTTTTTCTACCGCGAGATTGCAGTGGAGCACAGCAATCTGGGCAAGGTAAGACCACAGGAACCTTATGTTTGGAATTGTGGTGGGTGCTCAAAATGTGGGGCCGATAAAAGTCAAAGCACGCTGCTGCTGCTGTAGTTCTGGTTGTGGGCGGGTTAGAATTTACCATTGTGTTACAGTCAAGTCATGACCAGTTTATTTGTATTGCAAAGTTATCATAGAAGGCAACAAAATGATCATAGGTATAACGAAGGTACTATCATCATAAATAATCACGGTATATTCAAAAGAGTGAAGATACAATCCTTCAGTTGTATGCACGGCTAAACAGGTCTGTTTTAAACCTGGATTTGAACATTAGATTAGAGGCCTGTCTCACATTTTTAAGAAAGACTGTTCCAGATCTTAGCCACATGAATCTGAAACTTTGCCTACCCATGTTTGATCCTGACTCTGGGCACCAGCAGGAGGCCAGTCCCTGTGCTCCTCAGAGTCCAAGTTGGTTCATATGGCACTAACATGTCTCAGATGTGCTTTGGTGCGAGGCCATGGAGAGACTTGTAACAAACAGAGCTGATTTAAAAGTCTATGAGCCATAGGAAGCCAGTGCAGAGACCTGAAACTGGACTAATGTGATCGTACTTCCTGGTTTGAGTCAGGACTCGAGCTGCATGTTATTATTTTCTCTTGATAAAACTGATAATTAACGGTGGTATGAAGGATGGGTTTCGTAGCATAGTCTCCTGCAAACTCCATCTCATAAAAATGTGGGTCTCACCAAGTTGTCCTAGTCCTGTTTAACTTTATTTTAATCCCAGTCCCATGACCCCTCTGTAGACCTGGTTTAGTTGTGATTCTTTCCCATAGCTGCTTTGTCCTGATTTCATAATGACAATTTCCAGTCCCATTAGCGCGTATTTATAAAGCCTAATATTTTCTCTAAGGTGGTACATGGTGTGAAAGCTGAGCCAATCACCAGCCATTACATATTCTGTGTGGATACAAGGGACAGTTGCCAGAAAAACGGCTTGTAGTCAGTGTTTGGCATCGTGCAGCTCCAGTCCTTTTTGTTTGGGTGATGACAGGATGTACTGGAAATTTCAACAGTGTGCGTTTCCTGTGAATGTTCCACTAATGTACTAAAGCCATTACACCCGTGGAGAGGATTCATGCCAGGCGATTGGTCTCACACATTCAATTCAAGGCTCAAATTTGTTCATATTGTGGGCAAAATTTCAGCTAGAGCGAGTTTTGATGGAGTTTGAGGATCTGTTCTGGCTGGAAAAGAAACCAAAATGGTTTTAGACATGGTGCACATGAATTCAACACAGACAAAATCTGTTTATACAGCTGTCAGAATGCTCTTGTTTGTTGACAGGTATTGTGGATGTTTTCCGGTACATTTGAATGCTTTTTATGTACAGCGGTTAGATGTTGCCATAGAGTAAATTTAGAGCACAGACCTCTGCCGAGAGCAGCGTTCAGACAGTGATTTGGATGGCCTCCAATCACTGTCTGAATGGCCCAGTGAAATCACTTTTTCACTGGGCCATTGTTTTATGAAGAAATTGTCCAAACCCTCCCATAACTGGTGATCACTTTACCTCGTGGATGGACATAACTATTGCAACTTGTGATACAGCCTCATTCTACAGCCTGAGTTCTGAATATACAGCCTGTCCGTCATTTAGGAGCGGATAGTACTATCAATGTGGGCCTCCAAGAGATTTCTCACTTTCTCCAACAATTTTTTTTATCATTCCTTGCCGATGCAGAAGGTGTAAGGACACTGATGATCCCAAAAGTTTAAGGAAATTAATTCATTTATGGACAGTGTTATTTCCCATATGTATCGCCAAATTACCTACGAACAACACATTTACTCCCAGTAAGTAACTTTTCAGATGACATAATTCTAACAGCATACTCCGAACCATTAACCCGAGTCTCTGAAAAACGCCCTGAGGATTAAGATGTTCTGGATGTGTCCCGTTGGCAGAAAAAGTGTTTACTCTAACAATAAAGCAAATGACCCATATTTGAATTGTGTATCATTGTTGACCGCCCGCTCTGTCCTAAAACACTCCATCAGCAACCAGCTTATAAATATTTCAGCTCAACTAATGCTGGGGCGACACCTGGCCTCTGACGGAGGTTTGCATTGGTAAATTATTCAAAAAGTCTGAACCCACGGCTTCGTTTATGCAGCCACTGTAAAGCTGCATTTAGCATTTTTGAATGTTTGTGCTCCAGTTAGGCCCAACACTTCTGGAGCACAAAGCTGAAGATGGCTGTGCGTTTCAGCCCAGAACGATACATTATTGAACAAGCTGAAGTGTTTTAGTGGCTCGCTCAGAGGGATGTGACGTCCATGACCGAATCACAAATCTCTGCTTTTTTGTTAACTTGAGGCCATTGGTGAAAAGTTTTGTCAGTTTTATACAGAAGGAAATTTAAGCACAATAAGGACATTAATGGGCAGTGCTTATCTCAATTCCTATGGACCAGTGGCTCCTATGGGTTTGCGTTTATTTCATTTCCCCTGTTCAAACTGTTTGATTCTCTGATCTGTTATTGATATCAGCAACTTTGTAAAGTCCTATGAGTTGACTGCTGTTGTGATGCAATTGAACTCTCATTAATGGACAGAAAACAGAAGGGAAGATGCAAGTGGAATGTGCAGTATGAGTGAGAGGGGTCGAAGCCGAATGAGGTTCTGCTTTGTCCAGCCCCTTTTCAAAAACTGTAATGCCGTTTATTTTTTATCCTATTCATTGATGTGTTTTATACAAACTGTGCTATACAAATAAACTTGCCTTGCCTCCGTGAAGACTGCTTGCTACTTTACCAATGATAGAACGCACTGCTGGTCTTGGTTCAATCTTGGGTTCAAACCTGGGTTAGTCCCGCAGGTTTTATTGTGTGTGTTTAAGTGGAAAAGCCGGCAAAAATGAACCCAAAGACCATTCATAATTGATTTGTCATAATGGCCCTCTCTTTGAGCTCTCTTCCTCTTCCCCATGTTTTCCCCAGGTGGTCTACTCGCGAGTGGCCCGGATCTGTAAGAATGACGTCGGCGGGTCCCAGCGAGTCCTGGAGAAACACTGGACCTCGTTTGTGAAAGCCAGACTCAACTGCTCGGTCCCCGGAGAGTCCTTCTTTTACTTCGACGTGCTCCAGTCCATCACTGACATCATCGACATTAACGGGGTCCCATCTGTGGTCGGGGTCTTCACCACTCAGATGAACAGGTTTGTGTGGATAATGGCAGGCTAAGGATCAGTGATGGGGCCAATGGGAAACATGTATTAATTTTAGAGCAAGTAAAGATGAATTGGAACACATTCAAATCGACTAAGTGGGTTAGCGTTTTGGAAATAAAGGTAACAAGTCTGTGTTTATCGAGGTTGCTGTTTTAGCCGTAAACAGTTTTAGTTTTTGGTCCCTGTATCCCTCTGTCTGTCATTCTTACTCTGTCTGTCTCTGCCTCTCTCTGTATCTCTCTCTCTCTGTCTATACGTCTCTTATGTTTGTTCATTTAATATGGGGATTTCAAGTGGATTAATTGAATCTAGAGGGATTGAATTAGTATCTGCTTCATCCAAAGCTGTTCAAAACTATTGCTGTGGAAATTGGTTCTGCAGGTTTGAAATAAATCTAAATCCATCCACCTCAGTTACTTTTCAAATCGTGAGGAGAGAACCTTTTGAAGACAAGTACTGCTTTGACTTAGCTGTTAGCTTCCTGATTGGTGGAAATGAATTTAAAGTCCTTGGAATCATTGGTTTAACCATCTTCCTCAAGCAAATCTTTCTGTTCGCAGTTATGCCAAGGGGAAAGACCATTTTAAATATAATAATGTTGAAAAATACTATTATAATGTTGTCGTGCATTTAAATATATATATTTTTTTATCATCAAAAACGCTAGTAATGTCTAACATGGAGTCTGTGGTTTCCAACAGTATTCCAGGGTCGGCGGTCTGTGCCTTCTCTATGGCCGACATCGAGAAGGTTTTCTTGGGACGATTCAAAGAGCAGAAGACGCCTGACTCCGTTTGGACGCCATTCCCAGACGAGAAACTTCCAAAACCTCGGTAAGGGCGAGTTTAACCCATGCAGATAATATTCACTATGTTCTTGAATGACCTGGGAATTATATAAGCGCACGGCTTTGTACTCGGCTTTTCAATCTATACTTGTTATGTTGTTGGGTTTGGAGGAGTTGATGGCAGCTATATAACAGCGAAGCAATTATCTCCCAAGTGGGACAGAGAAAGTGATGTGATATAACACCGCGTACGGCTGGAGCAGTAATTGCCCAAGTCAGCGCTAATTGAGTAATTTTGGACACGCCATTAAATTTGACCCCTGCTAAAAATGCTTTCTCCAACCTGAATTTTCAAACTGTCTCATAATCGTATTACTGTAATGACCAGTTTATTTGCTATGACCTAACGCACACACACACCAACACACGCACAACACAGCGCACACACACACACACACACACACACACACACATCCCATCTGTTATAACTGAATTATTAATGTGGAATAATTAAACACGTTGCATATTTAACCTGTTTACCGTCAGAGGATGTATATTTTTTGTGGTCTGTTCCATCCAAATGACAAAGTCCAACCTTATTACCGCTGTAAATCATTGATGGTGCATAACGGGGGAGTATGTATAATTCATGTCCAAAAAGAGGCAACGACCTTTGTGTGATCCTAAAAGGCACCTGCTCCCCTCCACGCTTTCCATCCATCTCAATTCACGTGATCACGAGGGCTCCCTGGGGTGCGGTCATACGGGACGAGCTTTGAGCCGTGGGCTGGTCGCGATAACAAGATTTGATAGCTGCCAAAGAAAGGCTTAACAATGATAATGTTAAACCTACTTTCAAGATTCGATTTATTGTCTTTGTTCCAGAGAGTGACGCAATCTTTAATCTACTTTATGTCACGGATATGATTAAGATTTAGAATTACCCAGGGATATCAAGGGTCTTTTTGGCAAGTCAAGGCAAGTGTATTTCTATAACAGAATTCTTACACAAGGCAACTCAAAGTGTTTAGCAAAACAAGAAAGAAGATAGAAGCAGAAACTATATCAAGGCATTCAAATGATAAATCACATTCCATTGAAAAGAGGGAAGATACAATCCTTCAGCAGTATGCACAGCTAAACAGAACATTATTTTTAGATTATATTAGAATTTGCCATATTATTCCTATGTCTGTCCTTTATACTGGCCAACATCATGTATATTTTTTTTAATCAATAAACATTTGGATTGGTTGATTGGAGATTGTCACCAGTTCTAGACAGTTTTTACCATCAAAGACTGACAACGAAGATGTGGAACTTTGAGAAAAAAGTTAAGAAGGCAATAGGCAATAACAATAGTTCCATTCAATTCAATGTAATTTTTCATAGCCCTGAATCACAACAGCAGGGGTCTCGGAGGACTTTACAATATTGTCAATTCACCAACAACAAGATCAGAGAATCAAACAGTTTGATCACAAGCAATGGAATGACCTGTGACCTCTGTGCGTAGGCCCGGCTGCTGCGCGGGACACGGTGCAGCCGCTTCTCTCAAGAGTTCGGTGGAGTTCCCCGACGAAACGCTGCAGTTCATCAAGTCCCACCCCCTCATGGACACAGCCGTGCCTTCCATCCGCGATGAGCCGTGGTTCACCAAGACCAGAGTCAGGTATGGTACCAGCTCCAAGCCTTGGCAAAGTAGTAGCATATTTTTGATGACTCAGAACCATAACTGACTTTTAACCAGAGCAGGGGTGTCAAACCAGTCCTCAAAAGGTTTCCCTGAACTAGAATTTCTTGTATTTACAATTGTGATACTCAACACATGTATTTGTCCAGGTACAGGATGACTGCGCTGGCTGTGGACAATGAGGCTGGACCCTTTAAGAACTACACCGTGGTCTTCATTGGGTCCGAGTCTGGGATCCTACTCAAAGTCCTGGCCAAGACCTCCACCTCTTCTCTGAACGACAGTGTGCTATTGGAGGAGATCGACGTCTTCAACAAGGCCAAGTAAGACCATGGCATCCAGTGCAATTATTATTAGGATTTTAATAGCCTGTCTGTTGATTGTTTGTGGATTCAATTACGATCTAAAAGTTTGGACATTGTTGTGAAATTTTCAATGTAGACATTTCAAAATGTTAACTAGTTGGATAGTTATTGTCGAGCCTCCTGGAAAAATACACTGAAATCCAAATGCATCAAAGCTGTATCTAAAATTTGACGTAAATTCAAACAGTCCTTGCACGTACATGTATTTTTTGCCTCCTTGTCTTTAGATCAGATTTATCTGGAAAAAAAGTGAAAAAAGAAGTATGCAAACAATAACAGGTTTTCTGACAGGACAAAGCCATGTGGTCTGATCTCTGACAGACATTATGTATTATTAATGGGAGGAAAAGTTTGGTATCTCACCTTTAATCTTGTGGCCAGTCTCAAGTCTGTGGTCAGTAATATAATGTCCAACTATCTATGGCCTCTATGGCTATAAACCGAGGGCAAAATATTAAATGCATGAATGGTTTAATGGGAGCTTTGGGGCCCGTTGTGTTAGAAGGTTAAATTGCTGCTGACAAAATGCACCGCCACCTCACAATTGATTCAATCTCCTGAGACCGCAACAGTAGACAGCATTATCAGTGTTATCAGATGGGGCTCTGATCAGGTTTCGTCCGCTTGTGTCCCAGGTGCCTGTCGGGCCGGGAGGACGACAGACGGGTGCTGTCTCTGCACTTGGACAAAGAAACTCACAGCTTGTACGTGGCCTTCTCCAGCTGCGTCATCCGCCTGCCCCTCAGCCGCTGCGAGAGACACTCGCACTGCCAAAAGTAAGAGTCAACGCATCACTGGGTAGACATAGTCCTGCAATAGTCTAGTTTTGTTGAGGTTATATGTTCCATCTTGGGCAATCGGAGTTCTATCTGAGCAGTGTGGTTTGGAGCTTTTAGCCCAAAGTGGCATATACCCAGTTCTGAGATAGTCCTAGTTTTATTCAAATCAATTATTGTTGCATTGCTCTACTGCAAGAGGACTTTACAGGGTTGTCGATTTGCCAACAACAGATCAGTTCAAACTCAGAGATGCTGTAATAACATACTGAGAAGGACCAATGTCCACAAGTGTTAATAAATGTCCCGGATCATCACTGTCCTTAGAACCCATCTGGCCCCAGCAAGGAACTATTGTTGTCATCAGTTCTACAGGCCATTGGAGTTTTATCTGAGCTGCTTGAATTTTAAAAGAGAAAGTAAGCCTAGAGTATGCATAATTGCCATGTAGGACAACTTTAAACAGCAATTTCAAACATGATCGAGAAGTAGGCCCAAACACGCTTAAGCCCAGCTACAAAGCCCAACGAGTCAAAAATTGGCTTTGTAGAAAGTGTGTTCAAATGTTTGATAAAGAAAGCATTGTATTGTGATTGAAAAAGCTGGGGTATACCTAGTCTATTTTATAGTTTCTTCTTGGGTTGTGAATTCGTATAGTGCCAAATTTAAAAGGAATAATAGCAGCAGTCTAAAATTATAGAACTGGGTCAGGAACAGTTCTGGTTTAGACAAAGTTTTATCGCTCTCCACATCTTGGGCGTTGGAGTTAATGTTTATCTCGTCTCTATCTTTTATTATGCTCTCAGAAATATTAAACCAACCTCTAACCGATTGTTTGTTTGGGTTGAAATAGGGCATGCGTTGCTGCAAGGGATCCATATTGTGGGTGGAAGGCTAGCGGCGCATGTGAGAGGATCCCGCTTGCCGTTTCGTAAGTTAAAAACTTGAACACATACATCATTAATAGTATAAAACATTCTGCTTACATAATATGTGTCTATGTCATCTTTAGAAGCGGCTTTGAGCAAGATGTTGAACTCGGGATCACTGCTCATCTGGGAGACTGTCAAGGTATACATCCCTGCCATAACTCCTGAGAGCCAATACAAATATAATACAGAAAACTGCTTAAAAACACAAAGCCATTTTGCACTCTTTAAGTAACCCCCCTTTTTGATGACCCTTGCACTCTGACCATAACAATCTGACCACAAAAATACAAAAACACAACAACTTCTATTGATACGTGGTTGCAATGTTATGGCCAATTAGTGTATTATAACTAAAATAACATGCATACTTACATACAGTACATGGCCCTATTGTTACTAAAGCCACGATGCAGGACATGTACACTTTGGTCATGCTCAGCTGGTGAAAATGTGAGAGGATTTATTCAATTCAATTCAAAATAAATGTATCCGAGTATAGCCTTAAATGAAAACTGCAGTCGTCTCTGAGGGCCTCACAAAGTTGTTCGTTCGGCAACAGCAGATCAGAGAATTGAACAAAGGAAATGCATTAGTAAAAGGAGTCATTGGTCCTTAGAAAGCAGGATGACCACTGTCTAGAACTATTAATAAATGTCCCGGATCATCACTGGTTGTCAAATTGGTTCCAGGGCCGGTGTGTCAGCAGGTTTTAATTCCAACCAAGCAGGAGCTCACCAGACTCCACCCATTTTCCCAAGTCTTCAAGTTTAGACTGGACTCACTTTAGGAGATGGGTGGAGTCTAGTGTGCTCCTGCTGGGTTGGAACTAATACCTGCAGCCACATCCTTGTCTTACATCCTCATGTATCAGGAGGGAAAAACTCAAAAACCCAGTGGGAAAAATGTGGGAAACCTCAGGAAAGCCCCTGTCCGCTCGCAGAGATTGACAGGGTGTAGATCGAAGACTGAATTTTTCAATTAAAAAGTCTATTTCTTTCCATCATGGCACCTTTTCTTTTGGTAATAGTCGTCCCTTCATTGATACCGGCTGAACATGACCGCAGCTGAACTTGATCAGACCCAGAGAAAACTAAAAAGGACACAGCGAAGGAGTGCATTTTGTCATTATCGCTAAAGAAAACAAACTGCACTCAAGTAGTGGCTTATATATTCTGAGACTCTGGATGCCCTCAATGCTAATTACTTTGTCCTTTGAATTCTTTTAGCATTTTTGGGCACTACTTCCACGCCAGATTACAAATCATTTGGCGATCCTACCTCTGGTTAGTTTGATCTTTTTACTCAAATGGTTCATGTTACCTTGAGTTCAGCCTCTCCGAACCTAGTCTCCCACCATCACTACCATCACTACCACTATCGCCACCATTGTCTTTTCTACTGTCATACCTTTTTGAATGCGTATCGTCACATTGCTTCACGATCATTGTCTCAAGTCACCTTCAAAACAATTCACTGCGCTTTTTTCCTTCCCAAAAATAGGAGAAAATAAACCACTTTCTTTGTTTTTTCTGTTTTCTATCACCCCCTTTACGCATGAACGAGCACCATCCCAATCATCTTCTCTGTCGTGTACCAACACCAAACTTGTTACCCTCAAAATCCTTCTATGTTTTTTCTATTGGACTGCCGCAGCTAGTGAATAATTGTGCATAGTTGGAGACTCACAACAAAAGTGAAATGTTTGTTGCTACTAACCCAAACAAAGTCATGATGTCTTGCTCAAGTGTTGTTTATCCTTTGTTTGTCACCACAGACATGGAGTTGTCATCCATGCCCGTCACAGAGCAGCCCCGCGGAGGGCCTTTTGTGCCCCCCATAGACATGCCCACTCAGGCCCCCAGCTCTATGCCCGGCCCAGAGCTGTACGACCAGGGCTTTGTGCTGCAGGACGACCCATCCACGTCCAATTCTTTAGGCTCAAGGGGGCAAGAGGGTAAGGCCCATGGGAAAGCAGATAAAGCGCTTTCCCAAAGAGCTCCTCGAAATAGAAGCTCATTTTTATTGATCAATGCACCTATTGGCAGAAGCTATTATTTTTGTTTATTCAAATATTGCTGCTGTTTGGCATTAATCATGTATCGACAATGGAGCTGCAAAATGGGATGTGCTTTGGGTTACACAAAGTCAAATAATAATACAAAAAATGATACAAGATTGAAAACGTGTTTGGGGGCTATCTGCTATCTGGTGAGTAATGACCCGGAGAATTACTTGAATATATAACGTATATTTATAAAACTTTAAAAATAGGTGGTTTTTTTATTTTTTTTATTGAAAATAGAAAATTACTGGATGCAAACATAGCCCAGTAATTGTAAAGAATGTGATTTCACATTTAACAAATTGGGGAAAAAAAACTAATTTATAATGATAATATGGCCGAAACCACCATGATTAGTCTACATCATGTCCTCAAACCCCTCATCCTCCACCCACTTTGCAGCTCAAAATGTCCCATCCAATTGGAGTTAGTGCAAAAGAAGTCAAAATGTGATTTCTTTGGTTTATTTGGTATTGATCCAAACAACCAAATACAAAAATGTATCAATGAAAAAACATGTCATTCAACAGCAATATTCTTTTATTCATGCTTCTATATTAACGCTTATCCAATCTAAATCTTTGCTCCTATACTGTCTTTTTGGTCAACATTTAGTAGTTTTTACCTCTATTTTGCTTATCACTATATGTTTTGCCTACTTTTCTTTCGCACTTTTATCCCTTGTTTACTTTCTGGCTGCCGGTGTAGTAGATCTTTCAACTCTACTTGTAGTAATGATTCAACCTGAGGGCTGGTAAATCATTATCTGGGCCTGACGTCTCTATAGTGGCTGTACGGGAATGACTAACTCTTTCAATGTCTGTGGTACTAACAAACCTTCTCCAAGACAAACCGTGCCAATTTCCTCCTTAACAGCATCTTGATCAATTGGGCTCTCGCAACAAAGACAAGGCTCCACGTCTAACCTCTTGGGACAAACGCATGGCAAAAATACTATCACGTTTTCTGGACTAACATAGCACTTCTTATAGACCCTGAGCAGGTGTGGGTAACAGCTTCTGACCCCATTTGTCTTTCATGGACAGACATAAGTGTGAGAATGAGTTGTGGCTGACTGGTTCCAGCTGAGAAAGTCATGCATGATTGTGTCTTCACTACAATGCACATTTCAGCCGGTGATTGAGAGGCCTTCTCGATGGCGAGTTTGCAGCAGAGCGTTAATACAGAGATATATTTTTGTTGTAGGTATTTGGGACATCCAAGCAGGGGACACTAACCAGATGGTTCACATGAATATCCTGATCACCTGTGTGTTTGCTGCCTTCTTGATCGGGGCTCTTGTGGCCGGACTTTTCGTCTTTTGTTACCGAGATTCATTCCTCCGAAAGCCAAGACAGATTCACAAGGACCCAGAGTCTGTGCCCTCCAGCTCAGACTCCGCCGGGAGCTTTGTCAAACTCAATGGACTGTTCGACAGCCCAGTTAAGGTACAGTTCTCATTATAACGCCCTCCTTTCATCAATGTCACTGTTATAGATGTGTAGATGAAAATCTAGTAATGAGTTTTTATGCGGCTCCTTTTTGTATTTCCAGGAGTACCAGGCAAACATGGAGTGTCCTAAGCTGTACACCAACCTCCTGAGCAAAGACCTAAATGCGCCTGGGCCTGACACAAAGACCATGATCCTCAGAGATGGATGTCAGCCCCCAGAGCTCGCCGCGCTGCCCACTCCAGAGTCCACTCCTGTGCTGCAGCAAAAGGGTCTGCACCCGATCAAGAACCAGTGGGAAAGAGCTCACGGGAAGGTGTCTCGAAAAGAGTCAAACGCTCCTCCCAAGAGTCCCCAGTTCCTGTCTTCGTCTCCAGCCCATCACACTCCTCTGGCCCTGGGACACTCACACATCCCCAGTGCAGTAGTTCTCCCCAACGCCACACATGAGCTGCCCAGCATGGACTCAACTGAAGACGACTCACTGCCGCGGACCTCAGAGAGGAAACCGAGAAATCCAGACTCCAAACGCAGCCACAAAGACCCCAAGCGATCCGTGGACGCCAGGAACACACTAAATGACCTTTTAAAGCACCTCAATGACTCTGTAGGCAACCCCAATGCCATTATACAAGCGGAGAGCGGGCCCCGCCCCCGCCAGCACCTCACACTGGAGCCTATGGAGGAACTGACTGAAATGCCCCCCATAGTGCCCAGTCGAGAGGCGTCCTTGTACTCACCCTCCTCCTCCCTGCCCCGGCACAGTCCCACCAAGAGGGTGGATGTGCCCATTCCCCCCTCCCCTACCAGCCCCTCGGGCAGCCTGAGCATGGGGGGCACGCTGGAGCGGCCCAGGTACCAGCTTCACCGGAGTGCCTCTCATCGGGCGTCTCTGTCCACCTCCCCAAACGGGGTAACAATGGGGGTGTCAGTCTCCCGCCAACATAGTATGAACAGAGGGTACATACCCCCCACCCCTCCCTCAAGACTGGACTCTCATTTGGGGCCCGGGGGTCATCAGCCTTCAATGTCTCGACAGAGCAGTTACAGCGGGCATGGGTCTTTGCCCAGGACAGGACTGAAACGGACCCCATCCCTTAAACCGGACGTGCCCCCCAAACCCAATGGGTTCTCTCCACAGACTCCTCAGATGCGAGTGGTGAACAAATACAGTTATTAGTGACTAAGCACTGACTTAAGAGCAGCTCTCAGCTGGACTACTGTAGAGCTATGAGCCCTTAAAGGGAAGGGCGGTGGATGGGATGGGGTACGGCCCACTGTGGTTTGAGCTGAAGGTGTGTTCCCCTTTAATAATATGCACATTCACTTATGACAAAAGGGAAAATCACACACAGCCAAAGATACTCCCTGGTGGTCCCATCTCTGCCCTCGTCACGGTAGCCACAAAATATTAAGTGGACATTAGTGAATCTACTTTTGTATTTTGGCTTGACCGTTCCAATCCAAGGTAAAGATTGCCTTGCAGAGGGGAGCCTCTCAGAGCGGGGCCAGGTCAAAGCAGAGGAATACTTGAAGAATGGGTCTCATTTGTCACTGCCCTTGAGCACTGTCTTCCCACTAATGTGAACTGAACAGAGAAAAGCGCTGGGCTATGCCTTTGTAAGTAAGACAGCCGGGGCAGAGGAGAGGACAGTCAATAATCAAAGTGTGCGTGCTGCCTGATACAGTATGTTTGTAAAACTTAATGTCCGTAGGGAAAAGTGTAGCTGACTGAGCGACTGAATGAGTGTTTCTTCTCAGATCCTTTACTACGGAGCGATTTCAGACAGTACTCCCATTATATTCAATATGTGTGATCATTTTCAGTGTTTAAAGTGCCATCATAACTTTCAAGACATCGTGACAAAACAATACATGTGATTTTATCAGGTTAATACATTATTTGCCACTTCAGTTGCCTGTTTTATGTACACCCCCACAATTTAACCAGAGACTAATGCACTGTGCTAGAACAAAACGGTTGTAACATTTAAGTCATTGCACCGGTGTTGTCCCTCTCGAAACTCGGAAACCACCAGTACTGTCGACTATCCCTATTGAAGGATCTTGTGTTTGTGTGGTGAATGAGTAGTCCAGCAGGTTCGTGTAAAGACATATTGGCCTTCACTCAAAGAACGGTGCCACATGCTGAAGAAGCACCTTATGTCCATCAGTTATCACAGACATGCTCTCACTGGTATCTCAACTACGGTTCTTTTCCGACCGCCTAAACCATATTTTGTGTCATTTTGTAGTTTTTAGGCGACTCTTAGTTTAGGCTGAGGAGACTGTGGGAGAGGAGCTCTGACTCACTGGGAAATGTACTTACATTTATCTTACATTTGCGCTGCTATTGGTTTTTAGATAGCTGTTGGTCATGTGGTTTCAAAGTCTCTTGACGCTTTTATCAAATCCACCAGAACAAAGATGGCTGCCGGTTGTGCGGTGCAGTCTGCTTGTGCATTTTTGAGTGTTGAGTTCACGGACAGAGCATTAGAATGTGCTGTCGATTGGGGAATTCTTTGTCTTATTTAGGAGCGACGCAAGAGACGACTTTATGTAGCAATGGTATTAAAAAGGATCATATGTGTCTCATCTCATCCGAATTATGAACAAAATGGATATGCCTTTTGTAATGTTTTGTTTCAAGGGATTATATGTAGACATGAACAATCAATTAGCAGTATTAAAAGAAAAACGCTCCTACCATAAAGCGTTTCAAAATGCCACAAAAACAATGTGATGTGGTGATTACAAGTTCATAACAGCAGGTTCTATTGTTAAAACTGAAGTCGCTTTCATTTCTAATTATCAGTGTGTTACGAGTGCCAGGCAAAAGGCTACATACAATCCCTTTTAACCAAAGCAACACCAATGTTTAAGCCCTTGTATCAACATTTCAGGGCATGTGTATTTTTATTTTGTGTCCTCTAATAAAAGAACACTACTTTTCTCCTGGACTTACTTCCTTCTTTCTTTCTGCCTTTCTTTCTTGGAGCTCATTCAACATTTATTAACTTCGCTCACAAACAATACATGGATGTAGCAACTGTGGGCTGCCGGCTGGAGCTCAGTGTGGATTCTGTGAGAGACTAGCTGAGAGAGACAAAAAGAGCTTTGATGGTTTTTAACAAGAGTACTGACGAAAGATAAAGATCGCCTTATTCACTAAAACACGGCTTTCATACTTCCGTCGCTGTAAAAGCAGTATTTCTGGTCATTAATTTAGTTAAAGGCAGATTGTAGTAACAACTGCTATGTCTATCTAGGGGTTGAAGATTGTTGCTTATTAAAATCACTTTTAATTTAGCTTGTTTTTGTATAGACCCTAAATCACAACAGCAGTTATCTCTCTGAGGACTTTAGGCAAGGCAGGGAAAGTGTATTAGTATAGCACAGTTCACGCACAAGACAGAAACAATCACACCAGGTATCTTAAATAATCCCTCAGTTGTACGGACAGCTAAACAGAACGGGATTTGAACATTGTTGGAGAAAACCATCAACAGTTTAGTGCGGTGTTTCCCAACCGGTGGAACTCACAGCCCGAGGGGTAAACTGAGGTATTGCAGTGAGCACTTTTGAGAAAACAACTTCATAATTTGATTTATTAGTAGTAATGAAACACATCATACAAGATACAAGAATTATTTGCCATTTGCAGTAAAACCATGTTGGAAAAACTGAGCAAGACTACCCCAGTGTGCACCAGACAGCACACTCCAGGGCTCTTACCATGCAGTTGGGTAAAGGAAAGGGTAAAGGTGCACTTTAGACCACTGCTTACGTCAGGAGCAGTGGTCGCCGTAGTAACAGCGCCCGGAAACCCATCTCCAGATGTTGATGCTCGGCTTGGTCAGGACAACCAGAACAGGAGGATTTACTGTCACCTTGTGTGCAAGGTTTTTAGTAAAGTTTAGTTTAATTACTTACTAATAATACCCAGGTTTGAGTATTGATCTCGGTTTTGGCTGCAACCGGGTTTCCCAACCTTTTTTAGCCGTAACACAACTTTTTTCAATGGAGCCAATCACATGGCTCACCAAAGTATATTATAAAGAAAATCAAAGAAGCGGCAAAAAGTCTATCTAATCTTTTCTCATAATTTTCTCCTCATATTTTTTCTGACCAATCAGGTGAAAAAATGCCTATAGCTGCATAAAAGCTCTCCACTGAAGTTATCTCAATGACAAACCTTATTCTACAAAAAAAAAACTAAGTCAGAGAAAGTAATTTATTGAGGGAATGGGTTCCGCGGTGGTGAAAGGGCTGTGTTAATCCGGCACGTCGAGGTGTCATGCCGTGAATGTATTTTCTTGTCAGCGGGACGCCGTGGTTAGACCTGGCCCCGTCGCCTGCAGCCCAACGCAGTCTGTTTTTGTGAGAGCCGAGTTCTTCACACACAGCAGATTCCTCAACTGCCATTATTATGATAAGAGTTTGTTTGGAGATTCTTCAATTGTGTGAATGAATAATGTTGTGTCGTGCTGAGGACGAGGCCATTTGTTAGAATGAGAACTGTGAGAAAAAAAGTATAATTGACTAAACTTTGATATTTGGTAACAGCATGATAATAAATGAAAGTTTACTGTGATAGAACTGTAACATAATTCAATATTGTGTTGTATAATTGAGAAGGAGAAGTGATTATCCAGAGCTCCAAGGTAGTGAAATAATAGTTACATCAAACAGGGAGTAATTATAGATTAAGATCAAGATCCTTTACTGTTCCCACAGTTGGGAAATGTCAGTGTTGCATCACAAGCTACAGACCGGAGCCCACAGCACAAGATAAATTAATAATAACTATACGAAATCGAAAGAAAATAAAATATAAAAATAAGCAGTATAAAATCTATCATTTTAGCATAATGAAGAAACAAGACAAAATCCCCTGACTTAGCATAGTGAGCAATGATAAGATACTGTATATTCTAGTGCAAGTCATATATAGTTGTATGTACACATCTGTGCATGCTAGCAGCATGAGGTTATGGGACAAAGAAACATATTAATGACATATATATATATATATATATATATATATATATAAAATGACCAAATAAATTAGGTATTGGACTGTATAGGTGGAGCTGGAGTTGGCTGAAGGACGCTGTGAACTTGTGTTAATGACCTCAGTGGCTATTTTGGGTTAGCAAGGCAGAGGCCACATACTTTGGACAAGCCTGGTTTGAAAGTAATGAGCCAGCACATTTCCGGATGCAAGATAAGTTGAAATAACAAATTTGAGTGTGCGACAAGGGTTTTCTGATTTTCATTTAGGATTTTACACAAAGCTCTGACATTAAAATACAGTTTCTGTGGAGTAAAACTGCAAAAATGATTTGATATGAATACAATAAATAAACACATACAAGACTCTTCAGGCCAGGACTGACCTGAAGAAGAGGTTCTGAATGTCAGTGGGATTAATTGGCTTTCTCTCAAGGTCATGTATGTGCTGTGAATCTGGATGTACATGTGAAGGCTAGTGTACATACTTTTTTTGGTTTCATTAATACATTTTGTTTGTCCTGACAGAACGAGTCTTGCTTAAAGACATTTATTTACACTTATAATATGGACAGTAGTCATCCCGCTCCCTGTGGACCACCGGCTCTTATGTCTTTATTATTATTTCCTGTGTTCGAACTGTTTGATTACTGGATCTGTTGTTGAGGAATCGCCTGCTGTTGTGAACTAGAGCTATGAACAAATTAAGTGAATTGAAATACTGATTGAAGTTGATCCTCTTCTACACTTTTCTGTCTGAATAAAGGTGATCTGAAGATGTGACCGAGGCCAAAAATACATGTACCCAGTATATGAAAACTGGTAATGGAAACAAAAAGTGATCTTGGAACATAAATTAAGTTACATAGTTGTTTTAGTAGTTTCAAAGTTAGAAACTCCAGCTTTAAGTTAAATCAAAAACACACATTATTAAATTCATACCTTCACTACTTTCTTCTGGGCACAGTCTGTATTTTTAGAATTGCATCGCAGCCAGTACAGTGCTTTGGCAGAAATCAATATTCTGTGAGTATTTCAAGTTTTGATATAGCTTTGGTTAGTACTTCTACATTCCCAAGCTTGATCTCTCTTTTCAGGTCTCCCCTAAAAAACAAAAAACCTGTCCAAGTCTTTTCTCAGAGGGCCTTATCACGGAGAGTAGGGGCT